CTGGGAGCAGGTGTCAACCAGCCAGAGCACCCGTGGGAGGTGAGAGAACGGCTTACTTGCACCGATGTCGTGTGCGTCTGCACTGCTAATAGCTGCGACCTCCATTCCTATAAATTTGCCACCGTGACCGATGTCGTGTGCGTCTGCACTGCCAATAGCTGCTACCTCCATTCCTATAACTTTGCCACCGTGACCGATGTCGTGTACGTCTGCTCTCTTATACGCTAATACTTGCAACCTCCATTCCTATACATTTGCCACCGTGACCGATGTCGTGTGCGTCTGCACTTGCTAGTGACTTGTTGCCAACCAATGGAGGAAAAGCCGGACCTGAGAATCGGGGTCGGCGGCAGGGGCGGCAGCCCTTAAATATTAGTTATTGTTAAATAAAATCATATATATATATATATATGTGATTTAAACATGTGATATAAATATTGGTTTTATTATTGTTTAATGGTATATCCATGATCGTAGGTTGTTTATGAATGGATAAGGATGGATGGGTTGCATAAGGAATTGCATTCATTGCATCCAAAGCTGCGCGTACATTATTCTTCAATGCATCAATCCTCAAAAGCAAAAGCCATTTGGAAGGTTCTCAGCACTTGTGGGCCGGCTTGGCCAAGTAATTATGCCTGAATAATTAGATTCTTTTCCATGACAAAATGCGTTGATTGCAAGCACTCAAGAAATCTAGTGAAGCAAGAACATACAAAACCATCAAAAGCCAGGGTAGCAAAAGTTAAAGGTGCCAAGCTTCTCCACAATCTCAGATCTCAGGGAACTAGATCCAAACTGATGTCTCCGCCGCCCTGACACTGAGATGTCATCAGATGCTTGCGCTTGGGACCTGAGAAGAAATAGTTTCGGACTCATCGGTGGAGAATTGATTTGCAAGTCGAAGCGAGCGCAAGGAAGCGCAAGGAAGCGTAATGACACTGGGTTTCACGCAAGGCTTGTTTTGTGGCCGCCAGCTCCTCACAAAGCGGGCAGATCTGCAGATCTTCTGCAGATCTGGATGCACTTCCATGCAGCAAATCCAAAGTGCATCCTGCATCAGCTGCATCCGCTCTTCATGCCAGCGCGCTCGCCTGTAGCTGCCACAAGCGGAAGCTCTGATGTGGCAAAACCAATCCTTTGTTCCGAAGGTGCGAGTGTTAATCCCCAAAGCTGCAATGATCCCATAATAATGCCAAATGAGCACGACACTTTTCTGAAATTGTACTGACTGTTAAGTTTCACGTGCTGCCAGTCTAGTGGAATTTTCGTAGAACATATCCAGCAGATCAGTAGAGGGTGACAATAGACTTAAGGATTGATGGTCCAACATGCGTGCAGGCAGCACAAGGTTGGACTGTCTGAGTTCAGTGCTCCTCTCGCATCAGCGTTTTCATTCTTTGAAGAGCATACTGCAAACCTTAAGTGCACAGCCCATCAGCAACTAAAGCAGCCTAATGTTCAATTTGTGCTCTTGATCATAGCAATTGTACAGCAACATCCTGTTGGTATAAATCGCAAGGACAGCCGCCAAGGGTTGCACCAGGACAGCCGCAAACTTTTGATAAAACCAGATCCGATCAGTCCGAGACACGTATGCATTCGGCCTTGGAGTCCGACTCCGACCTCACAGGGCTTTGCATCCAACTCCAGGTTTCCAACACCGGTTTTGTCTGAGGGTCCGAGGGTGTGCGTTTGGTTTCGTTTTTTGCAAGCTTTCTTGAAGGCCTTCACTCTCAAGGCAACCCATGCACGGTGCACATTCTCGATTCAACACTAGCGTCAAACATGTAAGGAGTAAAACGACTCTGAATAATGAGCTGATCACCTCTCCTCTGGCGAATCTAGCACCTCAAACACGAAAGGCTTCAAAAGAAGAGCATTGTGGGAGGTTGAAGCCTTGAAGTGATGAAACGCACAAGCAGCCACACAGCAAGAGAGTGCTAGTTGCCTTTAGGCATGCATGGATTTACAGTGATGCCTCAAAAGAATTCTCCGAACCTGGTCGATAATACAATTACAAACCATCAAGTGGCGGCTCTTTTGTTAGCGGCCTGCTGCGTAGGTCCTCTGTGGGGAGCTGTTGTGGCGGCAAGCCAAGCAAGAACTCTGACGAAGACGCACCGGAAAGAGTCTCGAATTCAAGATGTATGATTCATCATAGTCATATCATAATCACGGTGCAGGCATGCAAGAGAAAAGATTCAAGCACTGCTTCAATATATCCCCTCAACCTCAACGGTAGCTCTTTTTAGATACCCTTTTCATAATACATCCTTGTGTTCGAAAGAAGCTCTTTTGCATGAAAGGCCGTGTTTTGGCAAAAGGCTGTGTTTTGAACATGGGACAATATCATGGATCAGCAACATGTGTTTCAGCGATAGGATGACTGTATCTTAATCACTTTACTCTTCAAATGGGCATGTTTCTCTGATTCAATTAGGGTCCAATCAACCCCAAACCCCAGGGACCACACCCTTCATCCCCACCGCCACTGCTTCTCAAGCGATCTGGCGCTCAACCGGCGCTGATCTTTTTGATCGGCGACACCTCTGGATGGCATTTTGCCACGTGGAGGCGAGACCTGGGCACACA